TAGAATCATCATTGAGGTATTTGTATATTGCTATCACATCTCCTCTCAAGCGTCTCTACTCCATTTGTAGTCTTCGCTATTACAGAGGAAACGGGAGAAAGACACATATATACAATGTCTCTACTCTTGAAAATTGGTTTTACTGGTGCCACACCCCTTAATGAAAAGACACTGAAAAGTAGGATTTTAATAGAAAAGATACTACTGGGGCTTTAACGGGCACCATAATGTCAAATCGCCATACACAAATTATTAAAATACATATCTTTATTACACAACATTAAAAGCACAAATGAGATAGAAAATTTGAGCATAAATGATGCTCAATATATAAAAACATGTAGCCATTACATATTGTCACTATAAAAATCAACAGGCTTAGTTTACAAAATATTCCAAAGGGTTCCCATGTACGATTCAATGGGTATATGTACAGCTTGTATGTAATGTCTTAGAATTTTTCTCCTGGCATCTGATTTTCCATGAGGCAGCCAAGAAGCCATGATCATATGGATCCCAGTAGACCCTTCAATCAGCAGTTACAAAGAAGGAAAAAGATATGGGCCTATCCGATAATAGTATTAGGTCCAAGAAAAAATATATAATTAATTATCAAAAATTAATTATAAAAAAACTATAGAAAAATGAATTATAATTGTAAAGTTATTGTCAGGAAGTGAGGAGCCAGACACACAAGGAGGTGCAATTTAAGGTAGGTTTATTTACACAGAAACAAGGCAAGAGTCTATGGAAGTCCAACAGCAAAAGCGGATGATTTGGTAGGACAGAAGTTCTCCTGCCGAGGTCGTCTTCCAGGATAATCAAGTTGAGAACCAGCAGGAATCGTAGCCAAAGCCGGGGTCAGAAGCGAAGAAGAATGGTTGCCAGAGCCGGGGTCAGAAGCCAGGAAGAATGGTTGCCAGAGCCGGGGTCAGAAGCCAGGAGGAGTCTTAGCCAAAGCCGAGTCGGTATCCAGGAGAGCAAAGAATTAACTGAACAGGAGCTTGCTGCTGTGCAACAGACAGAACACAAATGTAATGGACAGCTGCAAACAGCAGACTTAAATGTGATAAGCCGCCACCTCCTGGGAGGAGCCGCAGAGGGCTGAAAGCATAAAGGATCCCACAATGCTTTGCAGATCTAAGATGAATGCCAGCACATGGAGCAGCACAAGCCCTGAGGAAAGGTAGGACCTTGATAGTTATGCACTATATAAATTTACTCATCTAGGTTACTGCTGTGTCCCGTAAATGTCCAAACTACACCCCCTCTCCCCAAACTAGTTGCAATACAATAAGTTGGGACACCAAATAAAGGTTCACGTTATTCCATGGCAAAAAAACTCCATTCATAGGATATAGTGATACATCCATCTATATTGAAGCAAGCCAAGTCCACTTAGTTACTTTGCCTGGAGGAGAAAACACTAGATAAATACCAAATAGTAGACAACAATGCTTACCACAATCTCTGAATTTTCCACGGTAAAGCTCCAGCTCTATAAATGCACCCAACGATAGAATCTACTAGTGTGAACAAGACATAATGAAGCCCACAATTAAATTAAACTCCTTACTTCTGTCATAGGGGCTTAAATAGTGGATAAGGCTCCAAAAAAATGGCGTTCTAGCCGTATTGCACATACGCAATAATGTCGTCAACACGTATGCATGACATCATGACATACAACGTCACGATGTCCGACATCCAGGATCTCCATCAGTGCATCGCAGCCATATTGGAGAGCCATCAAAACATCCAACACACCAAGGCAAAAACACTCCTGTGCACCACCAACACCAATCTTCAAAAGCATCCACCCGGACCTCGCCCAGACTCCCACCCACATCCAAACCCCACGCTCAGACAAAACAAGGAAAAAAACTAACATAACAAAAAGAAAAAAAGGGAAAACAAAAGGAAAACATAAACACCGCTAAACAAAAACAACATAATGCAAAACAATATAAAACAAAACAATAAAAAAACAAAACAGGACAAGGCAAAACAAGACAAGACAAACAAAACAAAGAAGGAAGATAAAAAATAGAAATATATACGTATATAATGTTATCGTAATAATAGGCCTGTGATCATGGCTTCTTTGGGACCTTCAAAAAGTGAACTTTACATATAGTCTTGCCATCTTGCTTGACCTCTATAGAATAGAAGCTACATTCAAATCAAAACAAAAAACAGTCCAAACATAAATTAAATTATTAATACAACAAAATACAACTGAAACTGAAAAATACAGTTATATGGAGTAACAATACATCAAACGGACCAAATTATTATAACAATAAACAAATTAGAGGTGATGGCTGAATACCCCCAGAATAGAGAAAAATATTTTTTATATCAGTTGAAAGTATCTGAAAGGCTTATGATAGGAATGGTTTTAAAACTCAATGAGTCATTCAGACCAGGAGAATAAATTGCATCTAGGTTATGTATCTATCTGGCCTCCTTCTGAAGAATATGGCAATCTCAGTCTCCTCCCCTGGGATCCAGATGGACCCTTTCCAGGGCAAAGAACCTAACACACTGCGAGTTCTTACCATGATGCCATGTTGTCCTATAGGTGATGAATATCCCCTGATTCAATAGCTGACACATGATCATAAATACGTTTCCGAAACCTGCGTTTGGTCTTGCCAATGTACAAACTGCCACAACTGCAAGTCATCATATTGATGATCCCAGCAGTTTGGTAATTGGCATAATGTCTGGCTACATGCAGCTCCCTGTTTGGTAACATATGTTCTCTTACCTGAGAGATGTACTGGCGGTAAGCACAGCCACCGCATATAAATGTTCCTTTGTGGCAACATGGATCTGCTCTCCCTGTTCTAACAAAATGACTCTGTACCAATACATTTCTAATAGATCTATTCCTGCTGTATACAATTTAGCCTTATCTCTTATACAAGTAGACACTGCAGAATCAGCTGTAAGAAGATACCAATATTTGTCAATAACATGGCGGATCTGTTGTTGTTGTCTGTTATACTGCATGATTGATTTGGTAGTAGTCATTGTGTCCTGCTTCACACGTGACTTTCAAAAAATAAATCCGTGCATGATTGTTGGTTCGCTCGATAATAAGCCTTTTTTCAAAGCTTTATTTGAGTATCCCTGAGCCAGCAATCTAGTCTTCAATGCATCAGACTCATGCTTAAAATCTGCTTGGTTGGAGCAGTTCTGTTTGAGGCGTAAATATTGACTATAAGGTATAGATTTAATTAAACTGTGCGGATGGCCAGTATTGGCCCCCAAAATAGTGTTACCAGTTGTGGCCTTTTCATATAGGGTAGAGCCCAGAGTGTGATCCTCCCACACAAAGATCCCCACATTCAAAAGATGTGTTGGTCACAGGTCATTGTAAAGGACAGATTACAATCATTCCTCCCTAGTTGTTTAACAAAAGTTTCCAAGAGTTTCTTGGTGCCATCCCAGAAGTTGAGAATGTCATCGATGTATCTGTGCCAGGATGATACATGGCACAGATACATCAAGAGAGACTAATTCCTGCCCACCCCAGTACAGATTGGAGTAGGATTGGGCACAACATGCCCCATCACTACACCCTGCACCTAGAGGAAGTGGGAACCATCAAAAGTGAAAAAAATGTTATTGGGTATATATACGAAATTTTCAAGAACAAAGATGTTATATGCAGAAACATGTGTTGGACTATTTTCTGGTATAGTTCCCAGTAGTTTGTCCAAAGGAGGACATGTAGATATCGAAATAGCTGTTTGCTGGAGAGTTCAGAGAATTAGTTACCCAATTCTGATTACATGAAGATGCAATTTCAGTCTCAGAACCTCATCAAGAATTGGAGACTCCTTATTGAGGCTTGCTCTCCAAGGCAACTTCCTTGATAGATTCTGACATGCACACTAGTTATCAATATGATCAAGAGGGGGAAAATGGCTTATAAAATGATAAAATTGCTGCATTACAAGAATGTAATATGTGCTTATTTTTACTTTATGCATACTTGGCATCTTGACTTCGATGATATGTGAAACCCATGATTTACATATGAAGAACCTATGGCTAGAAGTTCCTGAAAATGGTTTTTGACTATTACATTTATCAGACAACATAAAAACACAAAATCAACATCATCTTATGACCACATTTTGCTGAAACTCATAATCACAAGAAACTTAGCTCTATGGTTTGTGTAAACATATTATTTTTTTGATTGGTCACTTTTATATTCTGTGAAAACAATTCTACTGCCTATGTGTCTTTATAAACTTATTCATGTGTCTATGGTGGTCCATAGTTCCTTTTTTTAAACTCAGTTCTCTGTTTTATTCTGTTACATGCAACAAAACCAAAACTGAAATTATCCATTTTATAAAGAGCTGGGTATGGCTCTCCCAGATGTATTTCTATACTGCTTGGCTTGTCAATTGAGACATTTAGGTAAAAGGGTGCTTCCTTATGCTTCTTGTAACTAGAAGAGAGATATGATTTTTTTACAGATTCCTGACATCATAGCTCAGAGACTTAATTTAGAAACCAAGAAATACCTACATCTATTGACAGGCATTTAACCCCTTGTTTACCATCTTCCATTTAGACAGTACACAAGGGTTTAAAGTAAGTTTGTGGCTGTTACTGGGGTCATGAGCTTTCTAGGTGTGCCTTCCCCTACAGTGATGCCTGCAGTGGTTCCTGGGCTCTCCAATTCCTCCAGGGAGCTTGAGGCCATGAGAGCAAGAGGTCTTAATTGTTGATTGTTTGTTTTCTATATTGTTTATGATCAATGTTCAGTTCTCTAAATTTAGTATTGTTATTTAACCGCCTCCCGTCCGCCATATAGTACAATGACGGGCGCAAGGCGGTTTCTCATTCTGGGAGGACGTCATATGACGTCCTCCCATTCTAACCGCGCATGCGTGGCTCCCGGAGCGTGCAGCGCGGCGATCGGTGGTGCGGATCACCGATCAACGGAAAGAGACGAAGATGTCGGCTCGGTCATGTGATCAGCTGTGTCCAATCACAGCTGATCGCATGTAAATAAGGAAATGCCGGTTATCGGCATTTCTTTCCTCACGAGCTGTCACACTGACAGCTCGAGAGGAGAGGAGAGCCGGTAATCGGCATCCCTCAGAGGAGACATGTACACTGATCATCAGGGCACTGATGATCAGTGTGCCCTGATGATCAGTGTAGCCCCAGCAGTGCCACCTGCCAGTGCCCATCAGTGCCACATGAATGCCACATTTCAGTGTCTACCAGTGCACATCAATGCCACATATCAGTACCCATCTGAGCTGCCTTTCAGTGTCACCCATCAGTGCCAGCCAGTGCCACCTATCAATGCCAGTCAGTGCCACCTATCAGTGCTGCCAATCAGTGCCACCTATCAGTGCCGGTCAGTGCCGCCTATTATTGCCAGTTAGTTCTGCCTATCAGTGTGCATTATTGCCACCTATCAGGGCCCGTCAGTGCTGCCTATCAGTGCCTCCTAACAGTGCCAGTCAGTGCCACCTAAAACTGCCAGTCAGTGCTGCCCATCAGTGCCAGTCAGTGCCACCTATCAGTGCCTCCTATCAGTGCCGCCTATCAGTGCCATATATGAGTGCTGCCTTTCAGTGGCCATCAGTGATGCCTTTCAATGCCCATTAGTGCCACCTACCAGTGCCTCCTCATCAGTGCCCATCAGTGCCACCTATCAGTGTCCATCAGTGCAGCCTATCAGTACAGCCTAATTAGCGCACATCAGTGAAGGAGAAAAATCACTTATTTGCAAAATTTTATAACAAAAACTAAGAACAAAATGTTTTTTTTTTCAAAGTTTTCAGTAATTTTTGGTTTGTTTAAGAAAAAATAAAAGACCCAAAGGTGATTAAATACCTCCAAAATAAAGCTCTATCTGTCACAAAAAAATGATAAAAATGTCATATGGGTACAGTATTGCATGACCACACAATTGTCATTCACAGTGTGACAGTGCTGAAAGCTGGAAATTGGCCTGGGCAGGAAGGGGTATAAGTGCCCGGTAGGCTAGTGGTTAATAATATGATGTTTTCATTGTTACTATGATGTTACCATCCTCTTCAAATAATTCAAGCTATGTATAGTTTTCATATTCATACTCTTTATGTTTTAAGCTGCTTTGGCATGTATATGGTACATGTGCCTTTACTTTAATCTATATAATCCTAATACCATACGGATTGTACCCTTTTGTCTTTGGTTTTGAAAAATGTAATAAACTGAGATTAAACATAAAAACAGACAGTCAGGGAAAGATATATTAGTGTAGTGTTTAATAGTTTCACCAACAGAATAAAATCAAATAATCCAAATACACTCGCATTAAAAAGTGCAACAAAGCAAAGTAATAAACAGCATGAAAAAAACATCCAATGCAAATCAACTGTATCACATGCAGTTTGCCTAGTAAAAACCTCTAGGACACCCAGTGACCATATGGATGGAAGGGATGTGCTATGATCACACCTTGTACGTTTTGTCACTTGCCTTGATGTTTTAAACATCAAGCACTGTCTAACCTTCTACTTTTTTTACAGTAAGTGAGTCAATATTGTTCACAAGTGATGAAGAAGCACATTTACAGTATAGGAAGCTATTGTCTTTTTACATTTCATAGGACTTAAAAACATCCATTGTATTTCATTTATCTGAAAAAACTGTGTTGAATTAGACTTCTGTCCCTCCTCTTCTTCCATGTCCTTCTTTGAACGCACTTGCAAAAGTGATCCACATAGGAGGGGCTCATTTCAGCTTTACACTCCCAGCTACTATATGTCACTAAGCCACTAAGTGGGAGAGAGACTTTGGAATCACCCTAGACCCTGCTGATTAGATCCACATCTGGCAGGCTATGAAATCCTCACAGAACATTGTAGCACTGGAAACCAATTACAAAGTCCTAACACTTAAGTCCTTATCATGATTGCAAAATGCATACTGAAATATCCTCCTAATTGCTTCCGTGGTTGTGCACCAACACCAACACATTTTGTGGGACTGCCCCATTGCCCAGGTCTTTTGGTCTGATATTTTTGGCATTCTATCCACACTTTTTGACAATTCATTATCTCCAGACCCTGTTGTACCACTCCTGAATAAAAACATCCTGATTTAACCCTACAGCAATTTAAACTATTCCTACAGATCACCACACCAGTGAAACAAATCATGGCGAAAACCTGGATATCCCACACTATACGTGTTCTTGCAGTCAAACATAGGGTCAGACAAACCATGATCCATGTGAAAATAGAGGCAGCCATAATGGATAGAGCGACACAATCTGAAAAACTTTGGAGCCCTTGGGTGACTCACTATCTACCTCCAACATTTGATGAGTCTTTGCTGCTCCCTGGATAAGCAACTTGCTCACGTTCCGCTTCCTCTCTCCAGTCGTTCCCTACCCTTTTCTTCCCCCTCCCCTTCTGGACGTTCCCTTTCTTCTCTCTTTTCCTTTCCTCATTTCATCTTCCTCTTTCCGCTCTCACTCCTCTCTCTCCATTCTCCTCTATCCGTTTTTTTATTATTTTTTACCTATATAGGCAGTCACTCTCATGGTAGGACTGTGATGCAATTTGCATTGCCCTTAGTCTCATGTCACTGTCACTGCTACCTTTCCACCATCCTGATACATGATTTTCTTGAAGGGTACAATTGTTCACAATTATGCTGATTTTTAGTTTCTTTTGATTCCTGATTGCACTTTCTTGTACACTTGCCGCCTTTACACACATTTTTTTTTACCATCTATAGCTTGATTAATACCCATATATATGTGTTTGTTTTATACTTGACAATGTGCTTTCTAGTTATCTATTCTATGTACAGTACATACTCTAAAAGTATTATAACTCAATGTGGACTGCCTTTGCAGCATATTGTACCTGTTCCTTCTTTGTTATTGTTTTATGTTATTTCTCAATAAAACATTTGAATTGAATTAAACTTCTGTGTAAGATTACGGTGTTAACCTTGCCTGTGGATGGCACCAAGTCAGCAGGCGACCATACTGTCTGGATAAACTGGTTCTATGGAGGTATTTCAATGCAAAATTAGTAGGGAGTATATAGAACCTCTTTCTCATTTGCAAAACAAAAAATAAAAAAAAAAATATAATCATCATCCAGCACTGTAGATACACATCAATTGCAATGGACGAATCACAGTTATGCATTAAAAAAAAAAAACATGATGACCTATTTTAATAGATACTCTCCATGAATGACATATCCCCAGCAAAAAGTCGAATGTAAACAAGTGGGCAGAATATCCCAGGTGACGTAATTGACCAAATATGGATTTGACCCTACATTGACATGATCATTCATGACTAAACGGGCAAGAACATATTTGGTCAGTGACATCATGTGGGATCCAGGATGATGTCACTGACTAAATATGGTCATGTTGATTTCTGGTCAATTGCTGGTCTTCGCCAAACTGAATTTTTTTTTATGTTTGCATTGGTACTTGTTCCTCAGACTAGTACTCAGCTTCCTATGCCCTTTGTTTATGATTCCTTTGCTGTTAGCCCTGAAAATGACCTGAACTAATTTTAAAGATGAAGCTTCACTTCACTGGGGTTCAGATTACCATTTAGAACTTTGGCATGGTTTGGTGAACTTCCTGCAAGCTGAACCCACGTATGTTCAGCTCATTCCTACTGCTAACATTTGCAGCAACATGTCTCAAAAATAATGTGTGCATTCACTGCAATTAGACAGTAAGCCAACTTTTCTTTCCCATGATAATGGTGAGCTGCAAACGGTAGTGATTAGAGATGAGCGAATCGAACCAGGCGAAGTGGAATTCGATTCGAATTTCAGGAAAAATTTGATTCGCGTCGAATCCGAATATTAGCCTACTTCGGGTGCGCGAATCGGATTTTTCCCGATCAGCCGGCAAAAGTGTCCCTGCAGAGAGCTCCGCTATTTCTGACAGTTCTCTGACAGTTCCTTCACATGTACAGCGGTTGAAACATTGTATCTATTTGTTTCCATTTAGGATACAGATGTTTTTATTCGGAAACAGATACAATGTTTCAACCGCTGTAAATGTGAAAGTCAGAGAACTGTCAGAAATAGAGGAAACTCTGCAGATACACTTTTTGCCGGTTTGGAATAGAGGAGCTCTGCAGATTCACTTTTTGCCGGCTTGGAATTCTTCTTACTCCTTATTTTGCAGAATTTGAGGGCTCGCAAAACACTTTTTTGGGCTTTGGAATTTCTTATTTTTTTCCTACTTCTTTCT